AATAAGTTTGCTCCAGCCCCCAGAAGTGGCGTCTGAGGGGGAACGTGCTGTTGCTTGAGTGTGAGCAATATAATCTCCCCCAGACTGCAAACCACAGGATGGCTGGGGAGCAGACTGTACCTGCTGAAAGGGCAGGGAAAACATCTTCTCTTAACACCACGGGTTCTCAGCCAACAGTGATTTTGGCTCCCAGGTGACATGTGACAGTGTCTTAGGACAATGTGGTTGTCACAAATTGGGGATGCTACCGATATCTGTGGGTAGAGGCCTGGAATGCTGCTAAATGTCCTCCAATGCATAGGACAGCTGCCTGCCATCAAGTATTATCTAGCCCCAAAAGTCAATAGTGTGAAGGCTGGAAACCCTGCACAGATGTTGCATCTGGAATGTCTGCACTCCAGTTGTTGGGCAAATGGGAAAGGTTCAGAGAAGTGGACTGGATGGAGAGTCCATATTAGGGCCATGTAAACGTGGGTTCTAAAACGATGTTGGGGACGTGAACTAGCTAAAGCTTATTCAAAGTGCTTATTCTGTGCCAGGCTGTGAGCTTGATGTTGATTACCGCATTTAATTTCTTCAGCTCTGGGAAAAGGTACAGTTATGACCCACTTTATAATAAATCAACTGATGACATACACAGTGGGAAAAGGGAAGAGGCTGTTTTCTTCTTGGCATAATTTTTTAGGGGTTGGTGGTGATTTTTGTGGGGGGCACTGTCTGGTTCCCCCAACTCAACTGTGAGCTCCAAGATGGGAAAGTCTTGGGTAAACTGGATTTGTAGCACCTGACAAAGTGTCTGGAACTCAGTAGGAGCTAACAGGTGTTTCATGGAACGGAGTGAAAGAACGAAGGAGCAGGGCAATTGTTCCCTACTGGTTAGAACGTAGGCATTGCAGTTAGATTTCCAGCCTTTCAACAGAGAACCACTGTGCACCTGCTATGGGCCTGGCTCTGGAGAAACAGGGAGTGGCTGCTGGGGTGAACCTGCTGGCTCATGGGAGCCGATTGTTCATCTATCAGGAAGCATGCAAGCTGATTGTCAAACAGACATTAAATACAATTAAATTAGGTAAAGTTACCAATAAATAAATTATATATTTTAAAAGGTAATAAAACACATCACTTCCTAATTATTTTACTATATTTTACTAGTATCTTTGTTCCAGAGGTTATTTATGTCTAAGGCAGGGGTCGCCAAATCTTTTCTGTACAAGGGCCAGAGAGTAAATATTTCAGGCGTTGCAGGCCAAGAGCTGAATCTGGCCCTTTAGCTATTGTTCGCTGTTTCCTGGTCTGCTGTGTCTGCAGGGTGGAAATACTCAATAATGGGGTGCATCTCTTTCCAGCTCCATGTTCAGTTATGCATGTTGGTAGCTTGAAATCGGTCATGGTGGGAATACTCATACCACGGAAATTATCAAATGCTGTGCATCAGGGCCTTTCTTTTTTCTGCAGCAAGCTGATTGTTAAAACATTTACCAGCACACCACTGGACACCATGATGGGCAAAACTGGAATGAACCCTGCCCTTTTGGAGGGTGGAGAGTTGAGTTTGTGCACCATTTCGTGGTGGGGCGGGGCAAGGAGGGAGCCCTGCAAAGTCTGGTGAGGCTCTCCACTGGAGGCCACCCCGAGGAGGAGGACGCTCGTCTACAGGAGTGTCTGCCAGAAGCGGCAGGGCTGCTAGAAGAGGGTGCTCAGGTGGGCCTTTCCGGGGGCTGGCCATCCACAGAGATGCCCCCCATCCTAACCAGGGACTTCACGTCATCAAATTCCTTTGTGGGCATCCAGGGCAGCAGGTCTGTCTTTCCCCTCTGAGTTAGCTCAAGGGGAGACTTCAGGGACTTGGGAGTTGAGGTGTGAGCTCATGCGGGCAGTTTACTGCCTGCTCACTACCACCCCAGCTCCCAGCACTGCACTTGACACAGTGTAGGTTCTCCACCAATGAGGCCCAGGGGTGAACCATACTGGGTTGCTGAGTTCAAGTGACGCAGTGAGCAGGTGAGAGCACGTTACGGTCCTTTGGGACCTGACTCAAACAAGGAGGGACCACCAGCAAAGAAGGCAGAAAATGACAGGTTTGTCTGGTGACCTGGCTGAATGAACTGGCCTGTGGGAGCTCAAGGAGAGCAAAGGGTTTGTGAATTTCCGTGTTCTCTCTGCTGCTCTGTAAACCTGTCAAGTTCAATGCCAGGAGGGTGAACTCTAAGGGGCTGGGGCCATGTCTTTGGAGAATCTGGGTTCCCATGGCATTGAGGATGACTTGGGTACGTGATCTATCCATGGAAACTCTAGGGGCTTGTGTCTCCTGCAGAGGTTGGGGGTCTGCAGGGAGGGGCTTTCTGATAGAATATGACAGCTGAAATTAGTCACATTATTTCTAGGCCAGGAACCTGGGATAGTGGGAGGCGAGGGGCTGTGCAACAAATTACATGAGTCCCAGACTAGAAGGCCGAACACCAGTGCCATCCCACCTCCTCATGTCTCAACTTACTGACCTGGTCCTATGGCCTGCATGTTTTGAAGTACCAGGGAATATGTAAGTGTGACAATCAGTCATTGCCTATTTGTTGAGCCCCGACCACATGTGGGCCCTGAGCCAGCCCTGCTGCCAAACAGGAACTCCTGATTTCTGCCTCAAGGAACTTTTCTTCTTACAGTGTCTTGGGGGCTCCAAGACACTGATTTCAAATTAAAATTTAAAAAAAAATTATTTAAAGATAACTGATCAAATTCAATGCTTTCATCTCTTAGGCCTCTGCCCTGCATTCTTGGGGTACCATGTGTGCCTTGGCAAATGAGCTAGTTTCCTGCACAGGCCAAACAATCTCCCACTTCTTTGTATGTGCCCCTCCTCCCTCTGCCGCTTCCAGGAGTTGGTTCCTGGTTTCCCCTTCTTTACCTGGTTCCTAAAGACCTCCTGAAGTCAGAATGTGCACCCAGCACCCGTTGGGTTAGTGTTCTCTCTCTGTTCCTAGAGCTGAAGCACAGCATGGTTGGTCATTGTCTCTATCATCCTTTATCTGAACTCCATACCTGGGCCCAGTCCTGACCAGCTAAGTGAGCCGGGGCATGTAGCTCAGCCACTCTGTACCCTCATCTGCAAGAGAGGATGATGGCAGCTATGTCATAAGGTTGCTGTGACAAAGGAAAGGTGCATGCATGTGCAACTCATAGCCCATAGGAAGTGCTTTGGATACTGTGCCTATTACAGGAACTACTCCTGTGACAACGTACAGCAGGGGCTCAATAAAGGTTTCAACGACTGACTTAACGCCACCCCTTAACAACCTGGGTGGTTCTTGGTCACAACCATCCCTTGCACCCACACATACAGCATGAGGTGGGGGCTTGGGTCTGCTCCTTTCTTGCTTGGTGGTTTTCTCAAGGCCCATTGTGGCTTAGAACTTGAATGAAATGCCAGCAAATTGTGGGGAGATGTTGTATACTGCATTCTCTTACTTAACTGTGTCTCCCTCAGGGTGCACGAGGAGAGGACAGCTCTGCCCCTCTCCTGCGCAGCCTAGACATGAGTCTTATTCTGTGAGGGACAGGGCCCTGCCTTCTACCCCTGCCCCCAGCCCTGGTCAGGCTCAGGGGAGAGGGTCTTTGGGGAGCCTATCCGTCTTGTCGGTTCTGGGAGAGGGAGGGGAGGAGATAATCCCACCGCAGGGACTCTGTGCACTAACTGCGGCATTCGTGATGAGATTCCACACACGCTCACACACACATGTGCTCACTACAGGGCACCTTCACTTAACAAAAGGACACAAATCTGGGGTTTTTGGTGGACATGAGGAAGGCTGATGGAGGGGCAGAGCATTTGCTCGTTGGTGTTAGGTGTCTCCTGATGGCAGAAGGGAAATGTTTTGGTTCAGTTCTGGTTCCTGAGTGGCACTGCGATTCATTCCACTAAGGTGCTTCCAATATAATTCTCTTCTCTGCTTGGTGCTGGGTCTAGGGATGCAGAGCTGAACGGCCAGATCCTGGTCTGAGGGGAGAGATAAAGAAGCTGGAGTTCCTGAAGTGCTGGAAGAAGAGGGGAGGGGGCAATCCAGTAACTTTGGGGGAGACTTTGTTGTCTACGTTCCTAGAAGGGGCCAGACTCCAGGGGCAGGAAAAAGGAGGGGGACTGAGGAGCTTGTCCCTTTCGCCAAGGCCCTGGAGGACCCCAAATGCCAAGGCGGATAGACATCTGCAAAAGGCAAGGGGTCTCCAGAGTCTGGTAGTGTGAGACAGAGCAGTGTGGGCTCCTTAGCGGTGTAATAGAGGGGACATTTTCAATTCGAGGACACATCCCTGTCTGATTGCCCCATCTGGCCGGCCAGAGGGGCAGCCTGAGCTGTGGCGGGGGTATCAGAGGTCAAGCGGTCCAGCCCCATCCCGCCCCCCCTCCCCACCCTCGCCTCTAGCCCAGCCCAGCCCAGCCCAGGCCCAGTCCCTCCGGTTTGCACCTGGCCGCACCTCTGCCAGCCGTCCGCGTTGACACGTTTCGGGGTGCTTACGTTTCTGATCAGGGCCGCTGGGATGCGGACCACGGGTTCCGGGGGCCACGACTGGTCCGTGAGCAGGTCCCGCCCGCGGGCCTCGCGGCTCAGCACGGGCCTGGGCACCGGCGGGGGCGCGGCTGGGCGTGACGTCACGCCCCGCCCCCACGGCCCCCGCCCACCCTCACATTCCGGGAGGGGCCTGGCCGGGGCCTGCCGGGGCTCGCCCGCCGCAGCCCCCTCCCCAGGGGCCGCCCCCTCCGGTCGGGCCGCGCCTCTGCCCCTCGCGTCCCCGCCCGGCGGCCGACTCCGCCTGCGAGAGGCCGAAGCCGCGGCGGCGGCCGCCGTTGCCGCCATTGACGTCAGAGGGGCGGGCACATGACCCCGTGGGGACCAATCGCGCGGGCGCGGAGCGGCTTCTGCAATCTCTCAACTGAGCCGGCCCCCGCGGCCCCCGCCGCACACTTGCCCGCGGACGGCCGCCCAGACACACGTACTGTACACACGAGCGGGTGGCGGGGCCGAGACACGCCCGCCGCGCGGCCCCCGCTCGCCGCCGCCCCCCGGCGCTGCCCGCGTCCCCACCCGCCCGTCTGCCCGCCGAGCTGGTCCGGCCGCCGCGAGCATGCACCCGACGAGCTAGGAGGAAGCCGAGCCCCACGGGAAGGACCGAGAGCCGGCCGCGCCAGCCGCTCGCCCGCCGCGGGCCCCTCCCCTGTGGGCGCCCCCAGCCCCACACCCCCCCACCTTCCTGAGCGGTGGGGGGGTGCGGGCTGCCGAACGGGGGCCCCGCCGCCCCGCAGCCGGGACAGCCCCTCTCCCCGCCCCCGGCCCCCTCCCCGGCCCGGCCGGCCATGGATCTGACCAGCAGCGCGGGCGGCGGCGGCGACCCCCGGCAGATCGAGGAGACCAAACCGCTGCTGGGGGGTGACGTGCCGGCCCCCGAGGGCACGAAGATGGGCGCCGTGCCCTGCCGCCGGGCCCTTCTGCTGTGCAACGGGATGAGGTACAAACTGCTGCAGGAGGGCGACATCCAGGTCTGTGTCATCCGGCACCCGCGGACCTTTCTCAGCAAGATCCTCACCTCGAAATTCCTGAGGCGCTGGGAGCCGCACCACCTAACGCTGGCCGACAACAGCCTGGCGTCCGCCACGGTGAGTCTCCGCGCGGCGCGATACTGCACCCCCGCGCCTCCCCTCGGGGCCGGGGAGGCGCCCCCTCCCACCGCTGCACCTGGAGCCCCGGGCCTGCTGCGCGCGCCGGGGGGCGCCGCGGGGCGCCGCGGGCGGGGAGAACCCGGCGCCTCTCTCCTGGCCTGGGCTCGGACTGGGTTGTGGAAACCGCAGCTCTGCCCAGCCGGCGGCTCGGGGAGATCCTCAAAATTCTGTAGAAGATCTGACCCCCTCTGCTCCCCTCCCCGCCCCGCCGCCGCCCCCAGGCTGAGCATTTAGTGACCTCTTGGGCACAGCGCTTGGGTTTCTTACGGATAGGACCGTGGGATAGACCCGAGACTGGGCCCTGATGGTGGTGAGGGTTCCCTTTCTGAAAGCCTGCGGTGGACGGGAAAGCAAAACAACCAAAAAATAAAACAACCAAACAAAAAACCCCAAACCCCAAACACCCAACAACCTCAAAACCCCCAAACCCAAAGAATTTCCAGAAACCAATTCCTTTCTTTGCTGTGCCCGTCTTTTATTCTTTTTTTCTGCCCGGGGTGGCAGGCAAAACTGGGTGCTCGCTTTCCTGTCTGAAAAATCTCTTTCGCACGTTGAGAGGTTGAGAGTGGAGGGGGAGGGGGCAGGGGTCCTGGACTATCTCCTCCCCACCCAGGGCTGAGGGTCAAGTTCTAGTGTGGAAGCTGGCCTGTGGGGCTCTGGTCTTGTATTGTCTGTGAAGTGTGTGTAGACGTCTGCTTCGTTGCTGGCGGTTTTATTTTGTTACTGTTATTGTTTTTAAATATATGGCTGGGACTGGGTCAGTTGGGTGAGAGGGAGAGGAGAAGTCATTGATCTGTTTCTGAAATCAAATCTGCAAGGTGGAGAGAGACAGCTGTGGTGGGTCGCAGGGCGGGGGTGGGGAGCAGGAACCTGAACAGGATGCTTTGTGTTTTGAAACAAGGACAGTTTAAAACACCGTATCTGCTTGGGGCCTGAGCCTTGCTTAGGGGGTTCCTTCTTCTGTGGAAAGGCGACAGGTCTTCCCCAGAATGCACACTCCCCCCTGGGGCCACTGTGAGTCTGTTTACTAAGCACAGTGAGGGGGGGGTGGTGCAGAATACACTGCCTGCCCACACCTGTGCCAAGAAAACCCAGCCAGGAAACAGGGTGTCGTTTACATGGCATGTCACAAACGTGTAGCGTGTGTAGACATTTCCCCGGCATCCATGTTCCCTTGGCAGTGTGTCACAGGCCGTGCGTGACACATGCTCCAAGGAATGGGGAGAGGGAAAAGTTAGAAGAAACCATACTCCTCGAAACAGCTTCCCCCTCCTGAGAGCACTGAAGCACTCGAGGACTTTTATTCTGAATTTTGGGTCCGACGTGCTGAGAACACCTATTTTTTCTTTCCTGTGGGCACGTTGGTGCAATGTCTGCAAAGGCTGCTTTCTCAGGAAGGATCACCAGTTGTTGAGAAGCAGCCCAGGCCCAGTTTCAGGCTCATGCATGTTCTTAAACTCGTTGCAAGCCACAGGCCTCAGCGTTTGGCTTTCATTTGATGGAGGGAGAGCCTCAGAAAATTTATCCTCACACAGGATTTCAGATCCAGGGAGGAACTAGTGTCCTTAGTAGTTTCCTGCCTAGGATCTGGAGCTTCTAATTCTGGCTTCAAAATTATCTCCTGGTTCAGGGGGGTTTTATTTTTTCTGCCACCCCTCAAAATGATGGGGAGTTGGGGGGAAGAAAATGGTTGAGAGGCAGGTGGATGGGAAAACGGTGATCCTCTGTGGGAAGGACTGGCTGAGCTCTCCTGTGCTCCCTTGGGAGAAGCCAGGAGTGTGTCTTCTGCCGCTGCTGGCCATGGTCTAAGGGAAGCCAGCTTTGGAGGCTCAAGGCCCCAGACTTACCTCTGATTGCTCAAGATGTATATGTGAGAGAGGGGAAAGGAGGAAAGGCGGAAGCCAGGCGCTGGTTTCTTAAGCAGCCAGAGGCCCTGGCCCCACCTTCACCAGATGAGGTGGGTGACACTTATGTAGCTTGGGTCTGCGATTTTCACGACTGGGGACTGAGGGCTATCCATGGAACCAGATTTGTCTCAGCAGAGCCTTGCTCTGGCTTTGGGAGATGTGGAATGAGGAACTCTGAGCAAGTGTCCAAGGAGCTGGCATAATTCCTCTTCCTCTGCCTGCTGTCACCCAGGCCCTCGGGCAGGGCAGGGGGCGTCCTTAAATCTCCCCATCATGGGCTCCAGTGGGGTGCATGGCTCTCTGTGCCAGGGCCTATGAGTGTGTGTGTGGGGGGGGGGGGCTGCCCAGAGCAGCCCTGATCGAAGCGGTTGCCTCCAGGGCAGAGGTGGGGTTGGGATTGCTACGGGGGACCTTGTCTCATCAAGGGGGACCTTGTCTCATCAGGAGACTCCTGGTTGGTTCTAGGCCCTAGGAAACAAAGCACCCTGAGGGGTTTTTCTGAGGTCTGGGCATTATGTAATCTGTCTGCATTTTATAGTGTGGCCCAAGCAGTGTATTGGGAAATATTAGCCCAAATGAAACAAAGGTGAATTTGAGCGCAGTTCACTATAACAAGCCCTGTCAGCCCTGTGGCTTTGCAGAGTTCCCTGGCTCAGCCACAAGCTGCAGATATATCAAGTATGTTTCATATCTTTTCGTGAAATATATATTATCAGTATAGTAAACCATCTCTATGGCCCAACTCAGAACCATTTGGTAATTATCTGGTTAATTACGTAGGTTTCAGGAAGAGAGTCAGGGTGATTGATCTGGAATCAAATGAATAAACAAACCAAATACACTCTTTGCCCAAACTGTCTTTGGCATCTGTCTACACTGATCCAATTAACTGAATTGTTGTCAGAGATAAAGACCAGGCTTCTAGGATCATAGCTGTCTCAGGCAGAGGTGGGAGCCTGTGGGGCTCCCAGGCTCACCTTGGTGGCAATTCCAGGTGGCTGTGCCCCTCAGGTGGACCTCTCTTGTGTCCCTGCTGGGGAGATGGGCTCAGCCAGGGGCCCCAGGGACAGGCAGCCTCACTCCCTGGCCTGGCTATAAACTTTGCCTTGTGTGGGGTCAGGTTGGAGCTTGCCCTGCGCCCGTCTCCTGGGCCAGTTACTGATTAAATCCTCTCAGAGCCAACAGTGTGCCTGACGTGGCCGTGACAGCGCCGGGCCTGATGCACTCTGTGCCTGAGACTTTGGATCCGGAAAGCTCATAAACAAAGAAGGAAACACAAAGGCGACAGTGACCTGGCTGACGTGTGAGGGGTGACTGGGAGGCATCCGCCCCTTTCCTGGGGTATACATGACCACACCTTGTGGGGGAAGGGCCCGCCTGCCCAGGCTGCGGCCTGGGTCTGGCACTTCATTCCCCTTTTGCATCCAGACTTCCCAGTCCCTGGGCCTCCCTGGGCTTTCGTGGTGGGGGCCAGGAGTTCTGCATAAGCAGCCAGGTCCGGTGAGACCAGGATCCATTTTGCTGTTCTGTGTTGGGGTTGAATTTGATCACCTGCTAGACATGTTTGTCCACTGGAAGAGGGTTTTGTCCGTGTGCTTTGTTTCCTCAGCACCGAAGAAGCGCAGATAAGCTGCTTGCATTATTTCACCTAATTTTGTGCATACATCACACAGCATCTCATGGTGGATCCGGTTCGAAAAGTCTTTTATTCATTGACCCAACAGGGGTCAGAGCACAGGTGAAGAAGCAGTGTTCTTTATTCTCAAGCCTTAATTCACCTACGACTTGTTTTTAAATATTCACCACTCTGCTGCTCTGACTCAAATGTTTCTGGCCCTCTTGTCACAGAGAGGAACAGAGAAGTCATCTTAATTCTCACTGGGTTTCTTTAGGTTGGTGTTCTCTGGGGGAGCACAGCCCTCTTTTGAACTAGCTCTGATGCTTACTAAGCATCTAGGTATCAAGTGCTGAGCAGAGAGTTCACCCCACAGGTGTGGTTTCCACCTGGGAATTAAAGTTTGTGTCCTCCAGAGTAGTCACGTGTCCCATGGAGATGCGTCTGCATGCGCACATGCGTGTGCATGTGTGTTCATTTTTTCCACTTTGTAGCGTGCACTGCGTCCTGCCTTTGATTTATGTGTTTATTGTGGCACTTAGTACACACAACAAATTTTTTTTCTTTCAGTGTCATTTGTCATAAGATTTTTTAATATATCAAATTTGTTTCCCAGATAACTTGTCTGATTGGAGGTTGTGGAGGGGAGGGGCAGAGACAGAGGAGAAAAAAATATAAATTCTCTGTAAACAGCAAATGTGGTCTGCCTTCCCCAGGTTGTGGTAAGTAAGTATGTTTTAAGGAGGGAGTGTGTTTTGATGCTGCCATTCATTTGCCTGGTGCAATCTGAGATGCCCTTTCTGGCTACGGGCAAAATTGTGCCAGTCCAGGCAGAAGGGGATTCACTGTGCATGGCTGGGCTTTGCTGCCGAGCTGGCGATGGAGGCGGCGAGGCAGGCGCGTGCCTCTGGCTTGGGTTCCGTGGCCCACAGGTGGCTTCTGTACAGGGCCCGCTGACTCCCCCGGCAGCAAGAGAGGGAGGACATTTTTGGGGTACTGTGTACGGCAAGGCTAGGGAGAGCCTGGTGGCCGTGTCACCAAAGCTGTCTTGGGTGCCTCGCTGCCAGCCTCAAGGCAGCCGGGCCGCCTCTTTCCAGGCCAGCCAAGCTTGGCCCATGCAGGTGGTGTTTTGGCAGAATGGACCTTTGAGATGGCTGAGTTATGCCTTTGATTAAGGGATTCCATGAGGTTAAGCAGGGCAGCCTTAATCAGCAGTGGTTTAGGGTGCCTCCACCAGGGTCGGGAGAGAGGCAGAACAGACTCCGGGTTTGGCATATCTTGGCTCTGGGTCTGGATGCTGAGGTTATGACTTCCTGGCTGTGCGACTTTTGGCACGTGCTTTCCCTTGCTGGGCCTTTTTCTCCTGGAGGGTGGGGCAGTCCTACCTCATTGATAGGATTGCTGTAAGGATTGGA